TGTTGCTTCGGTTTCGGTTACGGTTTGTGGTTGAGTAGTCGATTCGCTCAGCATTTCAGATGTTGCTGCACTTTCAGTTTCAGTTGCAGAAATAGTTTCTGTGGAAGAAGCTTGACTGGTTGAGGCTTCAGTAGCGGTAAAGATTGATGATTCACCAGTTGATTCGGTAAGTATTTCAGATGTCGCACCACTTTCGGTTTCGGTTGCAGAGATTGTTTCCGTTGAATAGAGTTGAGTCGTAGATCTTTCGGATGCAGTGACGGTTTCGAATCCTCCAGTCGATTCGCTCACCATTTCAGATGTTGTTGCAGTTTCGGTTTCAGTAGCAGAAATCGTTTCGGTGGAAGAACCTTCACCAGTAGATGGTTCAGTGGCGGTGACGGTGACGGTTTGTGATTCTCCAGTCGATTCGGTAGGCATTTCAGATGTCATTACAGTTTCCGTTTCAGTTTCAGAGATGGTTTCGGTTGAATAGACTTGAGTGGTAGATGCTTCGGTTGCGGTGACGGATTCTGATCCAGTATTCGATTCCGTGAACATTGCAGATGTCATTGAAGTTTCGCTTTCAGTTGCAGAAATAGTTTCTGTGGAAGACAATTCGATCGTTGTTGCTTCGGTTTCGGTTACGGTTTGTGGTTGAGTAGTCGATTCGCTCAGCATTTCAGATGTTGTTGCAATTTCGGTTTCAGTTGCAGAAATAGTTTCGGTTGAAGAGACTTCGAGAGTAGATCCTTCGGTTGCGGTGATTGTTTGTGATTCAGTGGTCGATTGAGTTAGCAATTCAGATGTTGTTACGACTTCAGTTTCTGTTGGAGAAATAGTTTCTATGAAGGAAGTTTGACCGGTAGATTCTTCAGTTGCAGTGACGGTGAATAGTTCAGTTGTTGATTCGGTTACTATTTCAGATGCTGTTGCAGTTTCCGTTTCAGTACCTGAAATGGTTTCTGTTGAAGATACTCCACCTGTAAGTCCTTCCGTAACGGTAACTGTTAGCGATTCCGTAGTCGATTCAGTCAGCATCTCAGATGTTGCTGCAGTTTCTGTTTCAGTAGCTGAAATTGCCTCTGTTGAAGAAACTCCACCAGTAGTTGCTTCCGTGACGGTGTTGATCATGGACTCGGTAGTCGATTCAGCAGTCGATTCAGTCGGCATTTCAGATGTTGTTGCAGTTTCCGTTTCAGTGGTTGAAATCGTTTCTGTTGAAGATACTTCACCCGTAGGTCCTTCGGTGACGCTAATGGTTAGCGATTCTGTAGTCAATTCAGTCGGCATCTCAGATGTTGTTATAATCTCTGTTTCAGTGCCAGCAGTTCTTTCTGTATTAGAGACTACATTGATAGTTTCGTCGGTGACGATACCTATTTGTGTTTCAGTAGTGGATTCAGTTTGCATTTCATATGTCGGTGAAGTTTCTGTTTCTGTTCCGAGACTCGTTTCTGTATAAGAGATTTGATTAGTAGGTCCTTCGGTTGCGGTTACAATTTGTGATTCTGTAGACGATTCAGTGGACACATCAAATATCGTTGAAGTTTCTGTTGCAGCACTTGCTTCTATAAAAAGTTAAAGGAAATTATTATGAATAAGAAGTATAGAGTTATGAGACACGGTATTATCAAAAGCTTCTTCGGTATACTTCTTTGGTATAATTGTTTGTTTTTCTTATTAGGAATGTTAGGTTTTTTTTTTTCGAAATTCCAAATGCGCAAGATTACTTAAATGCCTATCACTATATAGATTATAGAAGATATGTTTGTTTTTACCTGTAACAGTAGTGTCAGTTACCGTTTGTGCCGTGATTGGTGATGTAATTTGTGTTACTATAGCTGTGGCAGTCACTAAAATAAAGATTCATTCGATGTTATCTGTACTGAAGTATCAAATTATAGAAACCTGTTTCAGAAATATGTATTTAACACAAGAACTTACTTTCTTCTGTTTGCATACTTTGGAATGACGTTGCTGTAGCAGTTTCTAATAATGCTGAGGTAGATGATATTTGTTCAGTACTAACACTAGTGAATCCTCCATCAGTACTGTAAGTATCTGTTACGGAATAAGTATTAGAGTCAATTGTAGTAAGTTGAATAGTTGCTGTTGCAATTTGTGTAGAATCTGTGGCTTCTGTTCCTGAAGTGGCTAAAAAGAGACAAAGAAAAAAAAAACATATTTTTTCCTTGAGAATCTTTTAGCAAGATTATTGTTATTGACAAGTGTCCATATTATTGTTCGCTTCATGAAAAAGAAATAAAAACGTGTACAAATGCCGGATAAAACCTTTCATAAAATTATAACTCAGTAACCTTGAAAAAATTCTTAATTTTTGTTTTATTGTAAAACAAGAACAATAAATTTATTTTATTAAAACGAATAAGTAATGTAATAACTTACTGTCAGGTTCGGTCCCACTACCATCCAAAACAGGTGATAAAGATAAAACACGAGCCCATGAGTTTGAACCTGCATCACTCATATTGAGTTCATCATCGGTGCCATTATTTGATAATTCAGGCAATACTTGTTCAGTATTTACTGATTGCAATGAAACAGCAGGTGTTGATGAGTTGTCCGATGCTGCATCACGTTTATGACGTTCATGTAATGTGTCTTTAGTGAGTGATACAGATATAGTAGGAGCAGTCATATCAGTATTTGCTATCAGCAAACCTTCAGCTATTGGTTGTCCTTTCTTATTATTAGTATCAAGTAGAGGTGGAAAACGTGTATCCGCAACTTCATTATTATCATTGAATGTTAATTCCTTTATTGTTCCTGTTAAGTCTGCGTAATGTTGAGTGTATGCATTTGACCAATCTTCACTCTTTACATTGGAACCTAAGTAATATGATATTTAGTTTGTCTTAGATTTAAATATGAAGTTAATTCCTTTTTGCTCAAAAAGTCTACATCAATGCTTAAACATCAGAGCTGCTATTACCACTGAAAACGTTTTTTTTTTGAAATAATCGTAATACTATTTTATATAATTTTAATTGAACGTTATCGTGTGTCTGTGTATTGAAATACAATAGAAATATGTATATTTAATAAAACTGCTGTGAGAACAAACTTAATTTTGTGAATATATAATTATATACATATAAATATACATATACATATATACATTTATACATTTATACATGTAATTTTAAAAATTCTGTGACGCCTTATCATATACCTATATACTTATAGAAGATTATACTTTTCTTTTTCTTTTTTTACCTTTGACAGTATCTGTTAAAAATGTTATCGTAATAGAAGATACAAGACAAGCGGCTGCCAGCAGTCGTATCGAATCTATTGTTTGGTGTAATTTCATGATCTGACAACAATCTAAAATAATTGATCATAATGTATGAGAAACTGATTTCATGATAAAGAATGAAAAAAAATGAAACTGAATGATTACTTTGTATATATGACACACAAAATTTCGAAACGAATAAAAGAACAATGAAAAAACAAACGAAAAAAATACAGACAAGAGAAAAAAAAGAAGCAGAGAAAAAAAGATCGAATGAAACGAAAACTGAGTCTATAAAATTGCTGCCTGAATTAAAGATGAAAGTAAGAAGGCGAATGAGAGAGGGAAGAGAAAAAAAAATTTCTTCTTTCGATGACGACTGTTTCTCTTTTGCGATTTGATTTATACACAAGAGCATACTTTCATGTTTATACGTGAATTTGTGAATGCTATCGCACCGGCACACTTCTGTCAGCATCGACTGCTCTGTTTATCAAGCCCGAAGCAACAAAAGGCTCTTGAAAGCTACTTGTGCCATTAAAGTAAAGGATTCTATTCGTTGTCGTTCTCTTTCTTCTCTTCAGTATATGATCCCTAAAACAAAAGCTCGGAAGAGAAAAAGAGAGAGAGAGGAAAGGAACCAGTAAGAGAAAGTGTCTCTTAACACCGTCCTTATAGATGTACACTGATGCGAAAGTAAAGTTTGGTAATACGTTGTTTTTTCCCACCATTTTTCGGCGACCCATGAATAACATCATGCTTCCCTTTGGCGAAGAAAAAATTATGCATGACATTCTCTCCCACATTCGTATGATTGTTTTGTTTAATTTGAATTTTATTCTACCTTTTTTTTTTCTGTACAGAACAAAGTTGAATAATCGATCGATGTCAGTTCAACAATAAACTACAAATAAGAAAGTCATTGTCAAAATAAAAATAATAAAAAATAAAAATAAGAATAGAAGTAAAACTTCTAATTGATTTGATTTCATCGTCATGTCGTCAAATATAATAAGCGATTTATGCTGAACTAACATTTCGTAGATTTTTTTCTTCATCTCTCGAATAGGCATATGCTTCCTTTGATGGAAGCCCATATTAAATTCATTTCTCCCATAGAACATCGTTATAGAACGTAAGAGAAGTCTAAAAAGCGTTGAAGATTATTTAGTTACTCTCTCAGTCCTGTAAAGTCTGTTGAACAATCAGCGGTCAGTTTTTTTTTCTGTTCTCTAACTTTTGTGACATGCAATTGTATCTGAGTACATTTGATTTCAAGTTATATCGCCCACAAGTTGGAAGAAGAACAGAGAATCTACGATGTATTATAACACACCGAAAAAAAAAAAGAATTGTCATAAAACTATGCAACCAATCCACTTGAAAAATAATTTTCAATCAGCTATGAAATAAATAAAAATGTACTGGAGAGAAAAAAAATAAAAATTGAAAAATATATATCGATGATGAGTGTTTAGATTGTTTGTATTTATATAAATATATGCATATATATATATATAATACATATAATCTGCGCTCATATTAAGTCAATATACCGTCACGCTTTAACCTTGGGCACCTATAGTG